TTGTTGTCCTACGCTGGACTCTCTCCAGCAGCTCCCTGTCCCTCTTGAACTGGGGAGCCAATACCAGCAGTGATGCTGACTGCTATCAGCAAAACTACTCAAGAAAAACTATTGTCTAAGAAATACATTGTATGGATATTTCCTCTAAAGTAAACATTCCTTAGTCTTATTTAATCACTCAAAAAAAAAAGTAAGAGAGTTCTTCAGCTGAGAAAGCTATAAGTATGCAAGAAGGGAAGAGAAATAAAACCTTTTTTCAGAAGAGAAAAATGGACCCCCCCCTAATAATTTCTTATTAGAGTTGAACAGGTTATTTCTAAGAAATACATTGTATGGATATTTCCTCCAAAGTAAACATTCCTTGGTCTTATTTAAAAACCTTTTTTCAGAAGAGAAAAATGGACCCCCCCCTAATAATTTCTTATTAGAGTTGAACAGGTTATTTTTGATACCTTGGGAGAGCAGGAGAAAGGAGAAAGGTATAGAGAAAGTTCCATTCTTGCTGCAGAAGTATTCCTCTCTTTCCTTATACCGTCTGCTCTCACTTTTTGATACCTTGGGAGAGCAGGAGAAAGGTACAGAAAAGTTCCATTCCTTATACTGTCTGCTCTCATAATTTCAGTTTTAAAAATAAACTGTAATTGCATAGTTAGTTCCATTACATTTTTTGTGGAAGAAACCTTATTTCAAGATCTGGTCTCTGCCCCTCTGTTTGAGGCTGCATTATCCAGACTCTGATTCCCATAAGATATCGATGTGCTGTATTTCCAAGTTTCAGTCATGCCAGACTTACTTTCCTTCACGTCAAACAGCGTGAAGCTTCAGTTTGCTAATTCTGTAGTGCCGAGAAGACAGGGGAATTAAGTACCAGTTTGTCAAGCTTCACTTGGAGAATATACCCAGACTACAGCGTGCCAGGAGAGCAGGGCCAAAAATCACGCAGGTTTCTTTCCCCCAAACTGGTGGAAACTATACTACAAAGGAGCAACGTTTTGGCAGCTGTGATCCTGTACTAGATTTTTTTTTTTAGACCACTTGCCAATTCTGTAGCAAAATAAAATGTTTTCAGAAAGGCCTATGAACCTGCTGTCTTCATTTATGTGTTCAGTTAAGCACAAGTACTCACCCCTGCACCCTCAGCCCACCACTGAGCAAGAACAGCTAGGTCAAAACCTCTCAGAGACCTTACAGAGTTTTGAGAGAAAATCAGAAAACAAAAATACTACTATGCCTACCCAAATACACCACATAGTGCTATTTGGTTACACAGAACATACACCACATTCACTACATTGCAGTTTGGACACAGAGGGCAGAAGCATCATCTTCAAAAAAGGAAGTTAACAGCAAGTGCCCAAGTTGTGGTTAGTTTTGAGTGTCCCAACAGGCTATTTTCAATACACTCAAAAATGCAGAGTATACATAAGGCTATAAACTAGTTGCAGGAAAAAACCCTTTATCGCACATACGATCTCACAAGGCAGCTATTTCAGTATGCAAAATAGATCTGATAATCATGATAAGAAGACGAACAGCTAAAGAAGATGAATTAGCTAAAATTAGACATTTTAAGTTAAAGTTAAGCTCCGAGGTGTTAATGAGGACAGTTCTCTGCCAAACCAGCAGTGACAGCAAAGGAATATTCCCCAAACCTCTAAATGATATGCTAGACCCTAGCAGGGAAGTAAATAACATGACACGTATTTTTTTCTCTCACACCGGTCAACATATACAACTCATTGAAACAAGACCTTAAGCCAAACATTCTAGTAAAATTCAAGGAAGAGCTGGACATTTATATAATAATGAGCTCTTCTGCAATTACAGTGTCAATACAAACACATTCTACTCCACGTCTTTCTTCATGCAAAGTAAATTCAAGCCCAGAAGTTACACCAAAAGTTATACCCTAGGAAAAAGTCCCTCATACGAGTGCTACTGCCAAATCATGTCTTTTCTGAAATTCCTGGTTTTGCCAACTGTCACAATACTTGACTAAAATAACAACTTGTGCTTACTTATCATAAAGCAATTTAAAACAGGAGAAAGAACTTTTGCATTAGAGATTAGATGTCATCCTTACTATTTTACTCAGAAGGTGGATAATTTTGGGGGGTGGTTTCAGTTGGGTTTGTTATGTCTTTTTTTTTTAAGCTTTCTTGAATTCATAAGCAACTTATTCTTCATGAGCCTTTTAAAATCAAGAATAGTTGTTGATAACTAAGGATAATCTTTTATGATATGGTAACATATACTTACTATTTGGAGTTTCCTCAGTAATTTATGTGGACTACTGCTGCCCTGTTATTTTAAACTGAAGCACTTGAAAGAAATTTTTATTAGCATCTTATTTATTAGCATAAATAAGAACTTAAAACTGTCTTCCCACAAAATAGTAGTTTTGATAAAAATTAAAACATTTTCTTGTAAATCCATTTCCAAGTTTTCAAGGTGCAATTCACTTTTACTTCCCCCACCCCTGTATTCAGGGTTGAGCAGATTTGTTTAGGATGAGCTGTTTCTTCATCATGCTTTGCATGATGACGTTTGCACTGTCCCCTGAGGAAAATGCCTTTGACATTTTGGGAGAGGAAAAAGTGTCTAAATGACAACTTCACATCTGAGTAAAGGCAATAAGCTGCAGGCAAGTTGCCCAACTTCCACATGACGCACATCATGATGGCACTAAGAGGCTGAGTCTTCCTTGAGAGAAGACAAAGGACACAAGTTGCTTGTGAAGAGTGCTTCATTAGCTTTCCTTGGAGGGTGCTCAGAGCAAATATTGATAATGCCATTGTCATTGATAGTTCACTGAAGGAGAAGCATTTGTACAGAGCATCCAGCACCAACAGTGAGATCATGCATCAAATCAGACCTAATTACTGTCTGCAGTTTTGGAACGTAGAGTTGCATGACTCAGATGAGGAGAGAGAATTCCTCTCTATCTACTTCTCTCGTGGGGAAGCACAGGGAAAGAAGCATATAAAATGTATTCAGTTAATTACGTGAAGAAATTATTTTGTCATATATCTACTCACTTCAGCAAAGAGAACTCCAGAGAAACAGTATTTGTAGTTCAGACACCTGCAGCGTGTGTTCTATAAGCCAATACTAGACCTCTCTGTACACAAGGATGATAGAAAAGTTTAGTTTGGAAAGACCTCTGAAATTCCTCTCTCACCTCTCCCACTCCCCATTCTCTGCACTCAAAGCAGAGCATCTGAACTTAAATGGGGACATTCAGGGCCGTGTCAAGCTTAGTTTTGAGATTGTGTCCCATTCCATCCTTTAAGCGATTCAAACCTCGACAAACTGCTCTGGCTGGCCCTGCTTTGAGGAGGGGGTTACACCAAAGGATTTCCAGAGGTGCCTTCTGACCTCAACCATTCTGTGATTCCCAGAGTCCACAGCTTTTCCAAACAACCTGTTAACCACACGTGTGGGGCATGCTCTCTTTGAATTAGACCTGCAGAGAAATATGTCTGTTCTATGGGACCATTGTAGCTCATTTGAAGTTAGTCCTAGGAGCCTAATTCACAATACAAAAATTAGTCTTCCACAGGAAATGTTAATAAAGGAAAAAGGAAGCAGATAAGTTCACTCCTTTTGCAACTTACAATTATCACGCAATTCAGCATAGGGAAAGAAATTGAATAACATTAGTTGGATTTCACAGTATTTTTTAAGAGAATTTGAAGGCACAAACATTTAATTAGAGAGGCAGGAAAGAACATTACTAAACCTCAGTTTATCAACCTGTAAAGGAAAGAAAATTGCCATAAACTTACTTTTTTAATTTTCAAGGCTCTATACAGTTGAATATGATGCTTCATCAAGAACGAAGATGAGGGACCAGTCCAGCCAGTCCTTGATCTTTGATATGAAAAATGAAATTGTAAGTAGAGAAGACAAAATATACTAAATGAAGGGAAATAAAGACTGAAGTTATGAGAATACACACAGTAACTGCTGTGTTAGCATTAAATAATAATAGCATTAATAAAAAAACCAAACTAGCTAGCATACACAGAATTAGGTAGTCAGTTCCAACTGAAGGAAAGAGAAGATAAGTGAAATGGAAAAGGGTCTTCCAGTCTAGTGAGTGACCTGTGTTTAATATCAACCCAAGTAGTTCATATGTACCAAGCAAGTCTCCAGATGGGAGCTGTACTTTCTCTGCCAAGACAATTCTCTAGGGCAACATCGGATGAGGTCTTCTCAAATAAATAGCTGTGTTAGCATTAAATAATAATAGCATTAACAAAAAAAAAACTAGCTAGCACACACAGAATTAGGTAGTCAGTTCCAACTGAAGGAAAGAGAAGATAAGTGAAATGGAAAAGGGTCTTCCAGTCTAGTGAGTGACCTGTGTTTAATATCAACCCAAGTAGTTCATATGTACCAAGCAAGTCTCCAGATGGGAGCTGTACTTTCTCTGCCAAGACAATTCTCTAGGGCAACATCGGATGAGGTCTTCTCAAATAAATAGATGTGAAATGCTACAAGGGAAAAAAAAAAAGAATTAAACTCCCCATACATTCTCTTTGTAAATTAACTAGATGTTTAACTCCCCTTCTCTTTTACTTTTTCTGGCACAAGGACCCCAAATACAACACAACACATCCATCCATCTCACGAAAGGAAAAAAAAAAGTGCATTTCATATCAGATGCTTTGCGTCAAGCCAGCTAAGGCTCATAAATCAGCTGTCTTAGTGCCCTGGTCATTTCAACCAACATCTGACCCTTTTGTTAACTCATGATTTATAACTGGAAGTTTTTGGGTTTTTTTTAATGCCAGATTTATAAACTTTACTGTGCTTGGTTTGATATAATATCCATTTTGTACATCAAGCTATAAGACAGTAAATTTATTGTCTATGAACTGTTACCTTGAAAAATTACATCAATGCAAAGTGGTTTCCATTTAGAATCAATGGGCAATAAATTCATTGGATTTTTTTTTGAGGGGGGGAGAGAACATGATGATATTTATGAGGTCATGAGCGGCTATATAACGGGTGAAACTGGGAGCAGAGGCAACAGTCAGACAGGAGTTCTGAGTTACAGAGGCAGACGAAGGCGAAATACACTCAATACAGCAACGATGCATAAGCTGGTATTCTGCTGTCTCATTATTGTCAGCTTCTCCTACCCTCTCTCATCTCTGCCCATCATCAACTCCAGTGAGATGTCTTATCAGCTCTCAGGTAAGATCTTTTGATTTTAATGGTCATAAAGCAGGGGCTGGAGCAGCAAAACCAGAGGAGAAGCAGGTTTGCTTTCTGAGGGGCCTTTATCTGTGCTGATCAGCTGTAGAAAAAGCAGGAATGTCTTGAGAACACCAGCAGCACAAGTGACATCATCGGTGGGTGCTAGTCTTGTAAAGTTGGGAGGTTGGGTGCTCTAAATATTTCTTCCTGCTGCTTTGAGATCCAAGAGACAAAGGAGCCTTTCAAGCACAGAATGTGAGCTGGCATATACAGCATTTGCCTTTGAAGCAGAATTAGTAGGTATTTATTCGTATATATTAGTAGGCATTGGGTAATTTAAAGAAATTTGGCTGTTCAGATTCTCCTCTTGCTACACTTCAAAATGAGCTAGGTTTAACTGAAACAGTATTCAAAAAGTGAGAAACCCACTGCAGATTAATGCAGTCCTACTTAGATCAAGAACAGGCAAGTCTGTCTTATGCTACAAAAATAGCAATATATTGAACGTGCTGTTTGTTTGCACTAATGCAGATTTCATTCAGCCCAGTGAAAGAATAAACCTTTGCTTGAAAAAGCTGTCCTCAAAGTTTGAAATTATAGTATAAGTCAAGACCAGCCCAGTGAAAGAATAAACCTTTGCTTGAAAAGCTGTCCTCAAAGTCTGAAATTATACTGTAAGTCAAGACTGAAATGGCTCAGTAAAAATCCACAACAGGGTCTGGAAAGTTACTGTCATCAGATCTGTCCTGTGGTGGAAGAGTTTCTGAAATGAGTTCTGAAAGAACAGGCAAATCAAACCCAAAGTTATTGCATAAAGCTGACTGTTAAAAAGTGGCTGTTCTTACCTGCTTGGCAGGTGCAACAGCTGTTGTGCTGGTCTATAGGTATCAGCAGTTCCTAGTTTGCTCTGAAAATCTTGGACTCACTAAGCCAGCATCTTCTCAAGCCTTCCACCGCGTAACTTTCATTTACAGGCAACTGTGACTCAGTATGGATAACATCTATCACATCACAGGGTGAACACGCTGGCTCTAACAATTACTGCATTTGTTTGAAGCCATCCATTAGCTTATTAAATCTTCCTTGCTAATATAGAGAGTCTCTAGCCTGGGTAAGATAGAACTCTGTATTAAAGAGGGCTGTTTTGCTTTTTTTAGAATCTCAAAGCAAACTTACCTTCTAATACTGCTCTGAATTAAAAAAATAACACATGGTTAGAGATATGAATTGTCTTCACATAGCACAGAAAAGTTACAGTATTCTTATTCAGAGTCTTACACTGAAATCCCTGCTGTCCTTTGCAATTAGCCTTTTGTACAGTGAACAAGCTAACAGCGTGAATGTTTAAGGTCTTCAAGCTCTTGACCTTGGTCCAAGTTTTTAAATTTTGGAGGATTATTTTCAGCAGTTTATTTTTTTATATATTCATGATTGAGGAGCTATATAGTCTCACTCATCCCTGAAGGTGAGAGCAATTAAAACTCCATAGTATCATCTAAAAGTGCAACTTCAAAATGATATTCATCTGCAAAACTAGAGATTGATAGTAGTACTCTCTTGTTGCCCACAATTTTGAATGTCGGCTATATATTAGCAAAGATGAAACTTACTGCTCAGATTACAAATGCCTTATTTACTTCAAGTATAACACTGCGAAGGGTTCCTGTTGGCAACCTGCCTTGGGCTAGTTACAGAATTCTAAATTCTGTGCACATACAAATTAATTCCATCAGGTATCAGTAATCTGTTGTTTCAGAAAAACTAATAATATCTGTAGTGGTAGGCACATTAAATGAGAGATGATTGAAATGCACTGAGAAGTATAGCTGCCAAAATATGCTTTAAGATTTCCTATATTTATTCCTGCCCTTCCTCCCATTTTATTGCATTTAATAGTTGCAAAACTGAGTGGGTTAACAGGCCTTGAACAGGAAGTTTTACCTTTAGTCATAGCAAAGCTCCAGCATAGGAACTTGTTAATAAAGAAACTGACTAAAAAAAAAAAAAAAAAAAAGATAAATTATATACAAGTCTGGGTTGTCTACAGCTGGGTACCAGAAAGATTATGTTGTGAGTTCCCCAAGCAATAGGAGGGGCTGCTGTTGGTCAAAAAACATTCTTCAAGAAAGATTTGCCAGAGAAATGAGAACCTGAGATTATCATCAGGAATCAGGTATCTCTTCAAGAAGGTATCTTTTGTCAAAGCTTTGGAAGGAAAAAAAACCCTCAACAGCTATCTCCTATTACATTCATTAAATGAGGATGGACGATTGGTGATTTAATTATAATTTTCAGCAAGTGGAGCCAACAGACCTGATCAGAAATCATCTGAGACAGATTGAAACAGGGACTCAAAGCAAAAGACTTACCTTATGCCTGTTTCTGTCATCTCCCATTTGCAGCTGATGAAGATTCGAGATCAAACCTGGAGCGGTTGGGGAGCCTGGGAAGCACGTCCCTGCTCCAGCTTCTGCCAGAGCTCTTGGGTGCAGCAGCTGAAGACAACAAAGCAGGTGAGGATTTATCAAGCATCTCCTGACAGTAAACTGTTAATTCAGGAACAGTGAAAGCTACCACAGCAGTTTACAGGAGAGGGCCCATGGTTTGCATGTCCAGATCCCACAGATATTGTGCCCCGACTCCTGGGCATTTGCCAAAATACAATGTCACGTGTAGGGAACAGACAGCTGTCATTTAGTTATCCAGGAACTTGGGGTAAGCTGCTGAGCAGCCGTGCTTGCAGGTCAATAGTAGCTGGAAGTCTCCAAATTAGTATAGCAAAACCAGGACAAGGCAAAGATGGGTCTAGAAGCAGACAAAACAAAATCGCAAGGTCTCTTAAAAAACATCAAAACTTGCAGAAAACACAGAATCAATAGCAATAGATGGTTTGGGGGGCAACAGACATAACAGATACCTGCTGAAGAGGACAGCCCAACTTGCACCTTCAGAGTCCCACATCCTGCTGGAACTGTGTGCCACAAGGACTGGCTGACAGACAGAAATAGGGTTTTCTCTCTCGTCCTCTGAATGCTCCAGTTTGAGGTTTCTGCTGGTTACAGCACTATGGCACACAAAAATGACCCGTGCAGGTTCACGATTTCTAAATGGTAAAACATTTCATTCTGTCTCCCCTCTACCAGGTCTCAGAACCAACAGCTACAACCCAAGGGAAAATATCAAAGAGGTAAGTTAATGACCATCTGTCACTGAAACAAGAAAAAGAAAACTCCACATTTTAAACTGCATAAAATTGTTACTGAGACATTATTTAAGATCCAGACTTCATAAACAGTATAGACTCAAATATGGCACAGTGTTCTTGAAGCTGGAATCACTTAGCAGCTAGATAAGCAGGTAAGAAAAAAAATAATTAAAAACCAAATAAACAACACAGAAAAAGGAGATCATTTCATTCCAAATGCCCCCACCTTTTTTCCCCCCAGAAAACAGCTTTCTAAATAAATGCCAGTTTCCAGCTTCACCAGGCCAGTACATTAACCAGTATTAGCTGCATGTCATTTTCCCCCCTGCTAAAACACAGACTACACAGTACTATCAGGTGTGAAAAAAAATAATTAAAAACCAAATAAACAAAACAACACAGAAAAAGGAGATAATTTCATTCCAAACACCCCCACTTTTTCCCCCAAAAAAACAGCTTTCTAAATAAGTGCCAATTTCCAGCTTCACCAGGCCAGGCCAGCACATTAACCAGTATTAGCTGCATGTTATTTTCCCCCCTGCTAAAACACGGACTACACAGTATTATCAGGTTTTTTTATGAACCATTAGGTAAGTGGAGAACATAATTCCTGTTCACTTGTCTGCTGAATTAATTATAAAGGCAGAAGACAGGGACTAGTTTTAGTGGAGAACCTAAACCAGAGGGCACACTGGGCAGCTGCTGCTCCTTGCCCCATCAGAACCCAGGGCTGGGCAACCACTTGGGGCCGGGAAGATGATACTTTCCTGCTGGGAACATTTATGAACCAACAGTAACCTCTCTTGTGCTGTTTGTCTTCAGACTTTCTATGGAAACCACCCTCGAATTGCTCTGCTGGGCCGCTTCTCCACCAAAGACAGGAAACAGTACAAGAAACGTGGAAATCTTTCCGAGTGCTTCTGGAAATACTGCGTGTAAACAGGAGAAGAAACTCTCCCTGATTTTGGCTGCATAATTTATACAGATGTGTGAAAACATGTATATAGATTTGCTTGATTTAAAATGAGAATGAAGAAGCACGGAGACAGCTCCTAACTTTAGACTCTATGCTACTTGTAAATTAATAAATTCTTGATGTTTTGCAGTTATGCTGTGAGCAGTGTGGTGTTTTCTTAAAGCTCAGCACAACAGAAAGAAAGTAATGGGACAAAATGATAAATATGCAATGTGAAAAGAGCTCAAGTAGGGGAAGCAAGATTCCCATGGGGTCCCGTGGGAGCTCCCAGAAGAGCGATGCCTCGACCACCTCCAAGTTCAGAGACAAGAGGACCTTGTCCTTTGTCACTTACCATAGGTAGGAAGGGTTCCTGATGCATTCCCTGATGATGCTGAGCTGGTGAGTGATGGCAACCAAACAGTGCCCACTCCCCTCCTGCCATCCCCAAGGCATCACAAAAACAATAAGCACGTGCCAGGATCCAGCATCTGCTCCCACTACCACTGGAGTGAGGGACCAAGAGAAATGGTTCTCTCTAAGAAAGACCCAAAAATCTATTTCTTTGCAGCACCTTCTCTAGTCCCAGCTGCCCATGACAAAAGGATTGTCTGTGCATGGCACAGGCTTTCCCAGTTGTGTCTCATTACCAACAAGCACAGCAGGGAAGGTAACCATTCCAGCTGCCAGTGTCAAGGCTTTACACCCAGGCTGCAGACAGTCAGTGAGACAGACAGGGACAACATGACTTAAAAGGCTTGATGAGTGTGACCTGCACTTGTGTGGCTGCACAGACACGAGCATTACATGGACACAGGTCACAAGTGTTACCAGGACAAGCCACCTCCTGCTCAGGCACTCAGGGATTTGTTCCCCTGAGCCACAGCTTGTTTTTTATAAAGTTGTTGTACCTTGGCATCTAAAGTAAATGAGGGAGAAGACAAAAAAGCAGCTGTAAAACAGTTCTAGTCTGACTCCTTTGTATTCTTTCCAAACCCCAGGTACTTCCTGACAGCATCTGCGATGAACAGTCAGGATTTGTCTGTTCAGCAATCTTGGGAATGTGCACAAACAGTCTGAGCTGTGAACCCTGACTTTGTTCAATACATATTTCACCTAAACCTTAGCTAATCAAGGCTCACAGAAAGCTTGCAGTAAACTTCACCTAACAGTGATACACATGCTACATTGATCTCAATAATACACATCATAAATCTGACTGTGCTTTTTAAACAAGGCCTACAGGCTTGATACAATTTATGTGAAGTGAACAAGCTGTAAAACAGGTGAAGCCAGGTATAACACAGAAAAACATCCTTACAAATGCAGAGCTGCTGGATGCTCTGTGCAGCTATTTGAAATCTTCTCAACATCCATCCTTCTCTTACACAACGCAGCAAGCCAGTGCCTGTCTGGAAATTACTCCTTTGCTGCCACCTCATCAGTCAATAAAAACGTGTAAGAAAAGACTTCAACTTTATCTAAATGAATAACTGGCCAAGATAGATTTATTTCATAGATGGGAAAAGCTGCAGAGCCTAGAAAGACTGGGAAGAAAAATATATCTGTTCAATCCCACGCTTCAAGAATTGCATAAAGCAAAATAAATACAACCACAGTGATTAATAATTAAAAACAATATTACAAGCATTAAAAAGTTTCAGTAGCCATCTACATAAGAAAATAAAGGAATGAAGAGTGGTGAGGACAGAGTTAAGACGAGGCAATTAAGATATAAACCATCAAACACTTCCAACTTTCAATATTGCAAAAATACTCACTAGAAGTTATAGCATCTAAAGAAGAGATACTCAAACAACTTACTGTGTCCAAGCTGGGCCAGAGCACAGCAGAGGAGGTTGGGGGGGTGGAATTCAGCTAATTCTAATATAGTAGAATTTCAGCAGAGCCTGAAACTTCCAGTAAATTGTTTCTCTGCAATTAGTTAAGAACCTTATTGCTCTATGAGACTTGCCTATGAACTAAACCTAGGAATGTTTTTCTTTGTATTTCATCTGGAACACAAACTTTAAGGTGGTGGAGCCAATCTGCTCCCAGGGTGTTTATTATTTACCTTTTCAAACAAAATCAACACAGACAGAAGCTTTAAATCCTGCATGCCAAGCCCCAACAGTTTACACATTCAAATATAATCCTTTACATTCAAAAGGCACTTGCCCTTCGTTGTGGGATGCAATTAGAAAGGAAATAACACATCCTGAAATGGGCAAGGTAGAACGAGATATAAAAAAACCCCACAAACACACACACAAAATGGGATAAATAGCCACTACATCACCATTTCCACTGTACCCACAACCTCAACACCAATGTACAACCAGGAAAATGGAACGAATATTTTTTTTTTAAATTCTATTTTCTAAAAATTACCAAACAACAAAAGTAATCACACCCTTGAAACAGTTCTTTGCAGCATATTTTTCAGTTTTATTTATAAAAACAGTAGCTCCTGTAAAGTGTACAGTTAAAATCACAACTGTAAATTCAACCACAGCTGAATATTATTTCAATAAAATATTCCTATCAACTGATGTAAAAAGTCATTCAATTGTGATTTAAAACTCAATTCAGCTGGAAGATAAACTTACCAATACATTACATATTCAGCAAATATTTATTGCACACTGTAAAAATACACTGGGGTCCCTCCTGTTCATAGCAATGCCATGAATATATTCACACATCAACTCATCTTTTAAAAACATAATTTTATATTTATGAATACAACAAAAAAAAATTGCCAGCAAAATCCACCAAGGGTTTCCAAACTGCTGACACCCCCACAGGGGGTAGTAACTGCTTCATTTAATGTATTTGCATGTTTTTCCTTTGATCACCAAAAAAGTGACCTTCCAAGCAGCTCTAAACTCTCTGCAACATTTTAATTACGTCAGGCAAAACAAAGTCACATAAACAAAATAGAGAATGCAAATCTGGCTGCAATATTTACTCCGTTGGTCTTTCAGATAAGAACCAGATCTCACTTTGACTACTCCAGCAACCTACAAAGGTTAACATAAGCTGAAGTAACAACTACCAGTTCCTGAAAACTTATGGAAACGAGGTCCTTCACAAAAGGCTTGATAAGGCATTTGATTGCAAGATGCTATGGTTCTAGCAGGGTAAAGAGTAGCTTGGGAAACTGTTTTTTGTCCTAAACCTGGTTTTGCAATCAAGACTGTTTATGTTTTTGAGCAAATAATTTAGTTTCACCATCACACGTGGCACAGATTCACCTCTTAATTTCATGGTATTCTTTTCCACACCATTTTTTTCTGTAACCCAGGACTAGTGTAGCCCCAGACAAGGAATCTTGCGTGTGAGATTTAGCCAGAATTACAAACTTTGAATTCAAACTCCTAGGCACATGCACCTTCATTACATATGGTTACAGGGTAAGGTGGTCACAGCACTACGGAAACGGTCTAGGATTTCTGCCACTATATCATCCTATTGGGCACAAAATACATAGTAGTAGGTGGTACAAGAAGGGTTGACATCTCCAAACAAGAAATACATTTAACATGATCAAGTTTTTACGTACAGGTCAGCGTCTTGACCACTGGCAGCAAAGACAGCACAGGATACAGTGGGTGAAGTTCCCCAAATTATATTCCTGGATTTGGTATGAACTGGGGCTACACATCTGTGCAAGTCCTTTGTGTCTCTGCCTCTTTTTATACAACCGGGATAACGACAGTCATCTTTTTGACATGTTTCCAGACCTATGGATGAAAAGCATTATTCAAGTGTTAGGTACATATTACCATCCTCCTGAACTACGTCCCACTGTTTTATAGAAGGGATGACACCTATGCCTGCTAAGACATCACAAACCATTTCATTTTCATACTCAGGAAATAAACATTGTAAATATTGTACAGCAAAAGAGTCATTTTATCTAAACTTTGCTTCTGGCTTACACTTTTAAACTAGTTTGAAGGAGATGTCTGGCCTTACCTGGAGCACTCAAGTTATTTCACTAAGTCTCAAAAGACTTAGTGAAAAAAAATAGTAATTTTAATTTAAGCATAGCTAACTAGAATGGATTCTAGTGTATCAGTCTAATTTGACAGTTAAAGAAGCTTCCCAATTAAGAAAAGAACCTATACACAAAGCATCTTATTACATGTTTTAGAGCAAATATTTTAGGCAGCGTGGTTAGAAAGCAGAGTATCATACTGGAAAGTGCTGGAAAAACATTAGGACAGGTGTAAGGTATTGCCCACATTTTTCTACTTGAGTACCTAACTTGATACATGTAAACACTTATTGAAGGCTCTTCTTTTAAGCAGTGTTTAAAGTTAAACACACAAAGTACCAAGGATGTGTGGACCTCTGCTGATTTACAGCACTTAAGAAAAAACAGGTTCAGCTGAAAAAAGTGAAAGACAAAGAAATGCAGCTTAAGAATAAATAGGAAGCAATACATATAAACAGAGCAGGCAAGCATACTGTAAAAAAATAATTAAAAAAAAAATAATCAAAAAAACACTGCCTGAGTCAAATCAGCCTCAAAGACTTAAAATTCTGTAAAAAATACCTTTCCTTGAAATAAGCCTTAATGACAAAGATTGTCACTGAATTGATTTTAAAAGGTAACAACCTTTAGATAAATACAGTCTTCCTTCAATAATCTGCAGATCACAGTATTTTTAACTTATTGAATAACTTGAAGCTTACTAGTAACTGAAACTGAAGTAGTGAAAATCCTTCACATCACAGAAGAGTTATACAGAAAAAAGGGTGAATAATGTGTTACATTCTGAAACTCTTTGTTAAGAAGGCTAAGGTGATTAATAACACCAGAAGGAAAATCTGATTACATCCAGCTTTTGATATACCAAGGGGAAAACAGACAAAATTTGCTATGTTTTAGTGAAGTGTGTCCTGCTTGAAGAGCACTTTGAGACATTCAGCTTTAAGCTACAAGTATTAACACAAGAACAAGTCCTTTTACAGACTGAAAGTGGCTACCACTTTCTGAGTAACAAAGCCACGCTCCACACAAACTAATTTTTTGTCCATGGATTTCAACAGTCAGAGACTCCATTATAAAGACAAAGTTAAAACTCGTATGGGAAGTCAACAGTGACAAGAAATAATGAATATATGGTTTGAAGTTCAAGTCTGGCTCCACAACATGTGACTTTTCAAGAAAGCAGAAGAAATGAAGCTCAATCTATGGTTTTTTTTGATTTTGGCATCATCACAACAAAAACAAAACAGGGAAATGGAAGTTTTTCTTTCGCTATGTCTGGATTCCTGTCATCTAACTACTCTAATACTACACAGAAAAGGGGACACATCTCCTTCCAGAGCACTAGCAACAAAAGAGAAAATATTGCACGTAGCTACTTGAACTGATAACCAGGACACAGTGCTTTTACAGGAGGTGGCTTTCCACATGGCTACTTGAACTGATAACCAGGACACAGTGCCTTTACAGAGGTGGCTTTCCACACATCTTTCACTAAAAAGCAGATCCTGTGTAAGGAAAATAACTCCCGAATTGTTACTTCTATGTTTTTGGATTGCTATTTCTAATTTAATCTCTAACAGATATGTAAACCAGTTACCCTTAATTTAACACCTATCTTGAGAAACACAGCTTTAAAAGCAAAACCCATAATGCAACTGCTTCCAAAACACTTATTTGTTGGGCACAAGCTGGCGCAAGGCATTTTGATGCAGAATAACTTGGCCAGTTTTCAGCTGCTCATTAAAAAGCCTGCTGGATTCTCGAACCAGCTACAGTGGCTTTAGAGCCTCAGAGACCTTTAAATTAGGAAGTTTAGACCTTTAAATATGAAACAAACGAAAAGTGCTCCGTTGTTGCTTGGTTTCAATGCTGGTTTCAACGCATCTGCCTTACTCGGAGAGTGAATATGCTCTGATTTGTCAGGTTCATCACTGTAGGTTCTTAACCACTGCATCTTTTCAAAACCTTACTTGCCAAGTGTGAACAACCAACCAACCCAAACAAAAAACCCTTTGTATTTTGCTCCTCATTGAGCAACCAAAAGTCAGAAACATAACCCATTCTGTGTCAAGTCTGTAAGGTGGGGAAGGGAAACAGCCTCCCAGTGAAACACTGTCTTCAAAAGTCATGCCAGAGTGGAGGAGTAATGGAGGAAGGTTTAGTTTCACTCCTGTTGGGAGGAGACAGCCAGACAGATTCACCACTAGTGTGCAGCAAAGCCAGAGGAAAAGAGAACAGGAACTGCACCAAGCAGTTTTACTGACACAAGCGCTGACGCCTTCAGCGTTACAGGAACAGAGGCGATTTTCCCTTGTTCTCCACATTGTCATCAGCCATTGCAGCCTCACAACTTGCTTCCCTGACGTCACACGTAACACAGCCCTTTAAAAAGGAACAAAAACATAGGAATTTAAATTCTCCTTTTTATGAGTATATTTCAAAGAGTCAAATCCTGATACCATAACATGTTGCAATCTCTTCAAACCTCTCACCAATGGACTGAAATCTCTTCAAACGCAGAGATCATACAGATATTTTATTTTCAGAAGCAGGTACTTGCAACTCCAACTTACCTCTCTCAGAAATGAATTCTTTGGTTAGTGAAACATACAGTTTTAGCTTTGAGATAAAAAGGCATGTGAGTTCTTGAATTTGAAGGCCTTATCTTCAGATATTTTATTTTCAGAAGCAGGTACTTGTAACTCCAACTTACCTCATCTCAGAAATGAATTCTATGGTTAGTGAAACATACGGTTTTAGCTTTGAGATAAAAAGGCACGTGAGTTCTTGAATTTGAAGGCCTTATCTCTCAGCTTTATAAGCAAACTACTCCTTAAGGATTTGGACTGCAAACTGAACAGCAACAACACCCACCAAAAAAAAAAAAAAAGGCTGAAACACTTGAGTGTATGGACAGAATGGATTTGTCTTGTTCTTGAGAAGTGGCAGTACAATATTGAAATGAAGTAGTTAAACAGAAATCCTGAATTTCTTTCTACTGCCAAAAAAAAAAAAAAAAAAGGCTGGACAGAATGGATTTTTCTTGTTCTCGAGAAGTGGCAGTATGATATTGAAATAAAGTATTTAAACAGAAATCCTGAATTTCTTTCTACTGCCAGAAACCTGGTTGCATTCACAAAATGACAATCTATATTGAAAACATGACCTAGTGCTTAGGAACAGATTTAGCACCTTAGATATCAAATATTTATAATTGCATACCAATACATCATCACATTTGAGATGTAAACATTCCACAGAAATTTCTGCAAGATCACTGGACACCATTTTGCTACCTCAATCAAACACGTGTTCCTAACCACAAGATTTTTATCAACAAGGTACCAGGAAAACAAAGACCAACTTTCTGTTCTTTTTCCAGTGCCAAGGACATAGATTTCTCAATTTTTCTGCTCTAAGAATGCTACATTTGAAAATATTAGCACACAGGACATGCAGGGCTATAGATTATACATTAGATTTTTCTGCTGCATGAATACATGAACACAGTCCACTCTGCCTTGAAATTTTCTGTACAATTAATCAGTGGAGCTCCAGATTGTTGTAGGGTTAGTTCTGCCTTGCTCTTTTCTTCTCCATAGCACCTGGGAGCACTTTAAACTGATTACAACATTCTCTAACACATAGTAATATAAATCAAAAGTAGTTTACAACATTCTCTAACACATAGTAATATAAAAAGCAGTTTATCAGAGTGCCCAAGAGTTATCCTTGCTCTTTTCTTCTCCATAGCACCTGGGAGCACTTTAAACTGATTACAACATTCTCTAACACATAGTAATATAAATCAAAAGTAGTTTACCAGATAAAATAATCAGGCATAAGATACCAATATTCTTGAGGAATTAATCCACCTACAAAAAGCCAGCTATTTTTGTGTTTCTCACTGTATGCCTGAGCCTCCTCTGTGACTATGAGCACTTTTCAGTTTGAACATGCTTCATTAATGTTCCAGTGCTATATGCTATTAAATCATAGCAGCAATCAGCTTTGTAAGAAAAAACCAAAAAACCTAACACCAACAGAAAAACTATCACTAGATAGGGACTCATGTGAGAGCATGACACTGTTCCTATTCATCCAACAGTGTGGCCAAAGGGACTTTGCTACTGGTGGTTCCTACACAGTATTTGTGTATCATGGAAAAAATACAATAACAACCTGTATTTTGGCATTTCTCATCTGGTTAGTGTACTCGAGCTCATTTCCTTCTTATATTTAGAAGTAATAGCCAACTGCACTGATTAGAAACAGCACTGCCCCTGGTTCACCAAGGCAGGAACAAACTGCTGGTCCCTTCCCAGCTCCTTACCTGGGTGCTGATCTGCAGAGGGACAGTCTGGGTCCGGATCCAGGTGTGCACCTCTGCCAGCTCCTTCTTTTGCCCATCTGTAAACCATGGCTGCTGCTTCCTCATGACCATCAGCTTCTCCAGATCCTCCTTTAAAACTTCCTCTTTAATTCTGCGGGCAACAGACACCTGTGAACACAGCTGTACTAAATGAAGCAAGGCCAGCACTGATTACAACCCCAGCACTGATTACAATCCCATCCCAAGAGTCTATTCAACAGCATCTACAGCTGAAGTCTAAACATCACCAGCCATTGAAAAGAAACTGTACTTTGTTATGTCTTATTTGCTTTGTAAGGTTTCTTCCAACACTGGCCTCTCGGGGGGGGGCTGAGTGGGTTGTTGTTGGTTTTGTTGGGGTTCTGTTGGTGTTTGGTGTGGGGGCTTTTTGTTTTATTGTTTTGTGTGTTTTGTTGTTGTTGTTTTTTTAAAACATGGAATCTCTTTACAAATGATATATAAGCTAATTGCAAGCAACTTGCAAATAACATGCAAGTATTTTTACACCTTTATGCATTCAAAGTACAGGACAATAACCAATCCCCTTAACACTTCAGCAAAAAGGTTACATGTTACCATGTTTTAACTGATGGGGGAAATGGGGAAAAAAAAACCAGACAAAAGGAAATAATCAGGGTGTAAAATGCACAAACAGAAAATTAATACCAACGAAACTCCAAGAAGGTGTACGTGCACTGTCTCCATGGTCTCATTTTTAATTCTACAGCTCTATGCACAATACCAAACTACATGTCAGAAACTGTTGATGTCTTCCAACCTGTTAGGCATTTGATAAGTCATCAGAACTCTCTCAGGTGTGTGATCCATCATCACCCAGGCTGACTCATGTTTGGATTTATGAGCTGTCCCTTTTTCTTCTGCTTCCTGATTCTTCTCTTCTTTGGAAGCTTCAGAAGAATCATTACTGGCAAAGTACTTGCTGCTTTCGCCACTACCTGCTGAGAATTACCATGAAAAAAATGAGTGCAGATACCCGAGAAATCCTAGTAATTCAGCTCAAAAAGTAAAAGAACACCAGTATATTCCTGCAAGCCAGCTCTGTAATCCCAGATGACTGCTCGAGCAAGTGATTACTACCTATTGAGAATTCAAAGATGAAGTGCATTCTACGAAGTTACTCAAGATCTCCAAAGCTCTACATTCAAAGATGAAGTGCATTCTACGAAGTTAAATCTCCAAAGCTCTAGTTACTCTTCTCAAAATTAACTGATTCAACTTCCCTGCTTCTGTTTCAAGAGTTCCTGCTCTAGGCAGATTTACCTTTACTCAGACAAGACCTAAGAGAATATCTAATGCAGAGAAAAGTGATAATGAGCAAAATAAAAGAGTGACTTAAAGGAAGAGCTGCTTAGATTCCCATTTCCAACTACAGTGACTGAAACAAACTTGGCTTCAAACACTGCAAAGTGGTGAAAAGGAGAGACCACGCATCCTCTTACTGCCGTATCCCATCCTATTACAGTATCTTGCCATGAATTACCAACACGCTGGAAGCCATCTAGCACCAGCATCCAAATGTCAAACTTCCCTACCTGTGCCACAAGCAGAAGTCTTGTTGGAGCAAGAGCCTAAGGAACCAGATAAAGCTGATCCACTGCCTGATGCTGCTGAACCTGTACCCAGCTGGGAGTCCTCGTACAGCGAGCGGTCGGTAAATTCACTAGCAGCACAATGGCTGGCACTGTTACTGCTATCTTCTGGATCACTGTTCTGGAGATAAAAATCAAAACAAACACATCCATGGAAGTTACATTTAAGTCTGAAAAACTTCATGCACGTACTGAATTTGTCACATGTTGACTAAGCTCTCGTATCAGTTCAATAGGCTTAGAGTTTCTAGCTCTGGAAACAAATGGCCACGTACTGAATTTGTCACATGTTGACTAAGTTCTCGTATCAATTCAATAGGTTTAGAGTTTCTAGCTCTGGAAACAAATGGGTGTCTGGAACTCAGCACTCTTCAGGGGTGAGATCAACAAGCATCTGGACTCTACTGATTTCTGCTGTAGATTCTTCCCCACTGGGTCGAGATACTGTACTGTTGCATTAAGTTAGTATTTTCTGCTGACAAGAGAGCAGGAGTCAGTTCCCTTCACATCCTGTTAGATGGCATGAAGCAGCCACACACACAAGCCACGGTGTGGAACTACAGGGAAAATGAGAGTCTTCCCCTGATTCACCCTGTGAAGCTCACAGCTTCAGCAGCCACAGGAACACAACTCCCCTTTCGGGACCCTACCCTGCAGTTTCAGCTGATCCAGCCTTTCCAGCCCAATCTGGATTCAGGAGCCAACATTTTTTTCCTTGCCTGCAGAGCTCAGATTCCTGCCTCTGAGTTTACCGCGGAAGTTGGAGAGGCTTTTTCTATGCCCATGTATGGAAACCGACCCACACGGATCCCTGTTCTTCGTTCATTAGCTGCATCCCTGGGAGACAGAGGGAGTAATTAGAAGCGTATCTTCCCTTTGTTTTGGTTCTCCACAGAGGCTGTGGGACTGGGTGAGAAAGGATGCGAATTGCGCAACGCTAACCAAGTTCCACATGCATAAAAAGCCCCAAACCCAAAATTCCTGCTGGCAATTTAACTGAAAAGGCTGCTGCCAAAACATTAAGTGGCTTGTGGCAGCCTAGACCAGAAGATGTCACATTTCTGTCATTTGCTCAGTGCCAACACTGTTCTGTTAAAAGTTCCTACGGGTGCAAGTTAAAAACAACTTTTTCCACCTCCTGTGCTCTTTGTGCCTGCAGTCCACATAGCACAGCCACCCAAAAAAGCAGCTAACAAAATATGGTGACCCTGAAACACAGATCATCGCTGGTTTTGGTGAGCACCACGAAAAGTCAGTTTCTCCTCTACATGAAAAATTTGCGTTACTTACACATTTCACTTCTGCACGGGCTTTAACACCAGTACTAATGGATAACTCCATAGGTTTTGGCAGCTCTTCCTGCAGCAAATTCAGCTGAAGTGGGGAGCTGCTGCGGGAGCTGCTGAGCAGTAGGGCTGGGTCGTGCTGGGCTTCCAGGGCTGTGGCAGGAAAGGCTGGAAAGGGCTGACCCACAGAACGTGATGCCACTGGTGATGGAGCAGGGTGAGGGGCTGGAGGTCGCGTCGCGCATGGATAGGAAGCAGGGGGGTAAACATACTGAGGGCTGGGAAGAAAGACATATTGAGGCATCTGAGCATAAATGGGGAAACTCTGAAAAAATACAGCCATAAACGTGCCTATGTTTGGGGGATAAAGTGCTGGGCACGGCTGTGCTTCACAGCATAGGTGTGACAATGACTCAGGTTTTAACGAGTGCACGGGAAGCTCCTCTCCTACAGAAGAGGCTGGAAAACTAGAGATCGGATCCGAACAGCCAGGAAATCCCATAGGAGGAAGGACATTCATACTGGAGGAGCTCAGATAGGACACTTCTGAGGGAGAGAATGACTGTTTCTGAATTGTTCTCTTCTCACATGGAAGACTATTTCTAATTTTACTAGAAGAATGGCTGTCTGAGGACTGTCTCTGAGCTTTCTGGCGCTTGAATTTTCCGTGTTTGCCTTTCTTACAGGTAGCTGGGTTCATCTGCTTTGAAGGGGAATCTCCTGAGGAAGAAAGACAGACACAATCACTGAAATGACTGACCTAGGGAAAATAAAAAGAAAGAAAAAGAGGGAAAAAAGAGAAAAACATCCAGATAATAAAGAAAGAAAAAGAGGGAAAAAAGAGAAAAGAGAAAAACAACCAGACAACCGAGTGTGGCTTATTCTGAGAACTGACTTTCCTCTGGGCAATTCTTCCACACACTGATGATGGATTTGCTGACACATCTACAATATTTTCCTTCATGTCATCAATTTTGTTATTGATCATTCTGGCTTATCCCAATCAGGTCGTTCACATTCCTTCAAGGGCAGCCAATAAACTACTTGGCATTTGCAGGGTTTATTGCAATAATTACCTGCTTTGTAAAAAGTCTAAGATAGCAACATACAAGACAGAGCAGACACCTGCGTGGGCAATGCTGCTGTCAAGCCTTGGCAGTTCAAAGGAAGTATTCTGTTTACAGCCATCGTGAAATAATCACTAAATCATACAAGGAAGAAAGACCAAGCTAGCAGTGGAGTCTGGTTCTAAGTCATCTAATAGGTCTATATTTCTCAAAGCTGCTGCCTACCTTGGCCACAGGAATGTCCGTTGTTACTTCTGCTCCCCTGTTGAAGGTAAGTCCTAAATGGAGAGAGCAAGATCCTCTGGCGGAACTTGTCAACGTAGTTCTGCTCCTCCTTTTGAGTGTGGGCTGACAGTGTCTCTTTGGTGAGCCCAACTGGCTTCAAGTCCTCGGGTACCGTAGTGAGACTCTGAGCATTCACAGGAGGCAGCTCAATTTGTTCACTTCCAACAGTAGTATCCTCCATTGTAGTCACTTCTTTGAAGATGGAAGAAAATAAATCACTCACTCTTTGCTCTGGCCTTCTGGTGCGAACTCCCACATGCAAATTACAATTACATAGAATACAAAATACAATTACATTATCCTCCATTGTAGTCACTTCTTTGAAGATGGAAGAAAATAAATCACTCACTCTTTGCTTTGGCCTTCTGGTGTGAACTCCCACAACACCCAGAGGGTTACACAGAAAATAATCTCATCTGAGCAGATATAGGCTGCAGATGCAGTGGGAGAAAACACCCTTTATGCTTAAATATAGTTACACAACCATCAACTGAGCAAATTATTACGTATGGTCTGGAAAACTTAAAAGTCACTTTGAAGTTACAGAGGCACTTCTTTTTAAATGCTTTCTTAGTACAATAGCAGTTAAATACTAATTGTTATGGGTTTTTTTCTGTGTTAAAATGAAGTAACACTGTCCCACTAGTCATTTTTATTTTAATCCTCAATGGCCAAAACTCCATTTTTGTGTTTGAGATGTATGTGATGAAGTTAAAGGGGAAAGAGAATAGTGCACTCTGTTAAAACTAGGTCTTATTAAAATATCAGATGTATGTGATGAAGTTAAAGGGGAAAGAAAATAGCGCACTCTGTTAAAACTACGTCTTATTTAATATAAAAAAAAATTCCAGGCTCTAGTTTTGTTCATAGTGTATCTAGAGGTACCTAAATTATATTTCAGAGTTCATATTAATGAGAATGATCTCAAACGGACGAAACTTTCTCACTGTGTACTTCAGTCTGAAAACATGGTACACATTTAGAAATCAGTGAGCCAGGTCAGTGTGTTGCAAGTGTGACCAGTACCTGATTCGGGGTGCGGGACGTGCACTATGGTGCTGCTGTAACTGCACTGGCTGGTGACAGACACCACGCTGGGAGCCTTGGTGGACAGGGCCAGGTCTGCCAGAGGAGCTCCAGCCACGCCTGCAGTTGCCTGGTCTCTCAGCGTCTCTTCCCCACCAGTAGATTTTGGAGGTTGGGAATTAAGTGCTGAAAAGATAGTGGTGGCTATTGGTAAATGACAGTTTCCATATGGAATTTAATTCCAAGCATTGTGCTCCCAATTCATCAAGTCTGACTTGTTCAGAAACAACCAGTAACTATGCAGACTATAAATATAGTCTTATATACAAATAAATGTAACATTCAATATTCATACACCAGTGCAACGTCAGCACATACTAAACATGTCAAAAAATGACCAAGCAACAGCCAACAATACATGTTTTGGTGCATTCTGCCTTCAAAGACTTAATGTTCTAGCTCATGCTAAAATCAATCAGTTGTTGCCATTCTATTATGATTATCAGTATACTCTGTGTTACCTTCCAATGCCTCGACTTCCTGATGACTTTCCTGGACTTGCTTGTCATCTTCTGAAGATGACGATGACGTATTTGCAGAAGATTTACATTTCCTTTTCAATGCTGGAATGCTGCAGCTCTCTAGATATCTGAAATAAAAGCATATCACAGGAAGCTCTCCCTACTTCGTGTTTTTTCTCCATTTGGAGAGACAAACATTTGAATAATCCAAACTGGAGATCCAGGGGTCGTTAACTAGTATTTTAAATTCACTGCAGGAAGCTCTGGACACATATCTGCTTTCCAAGGAGCATTTTAAATAAAATCTATCAGTTACTCTTAAAAAAGAAAAAAGAAAAAAAAAAAAGAAGAAAGACGATATTATCCACCTTGTTAAAAATTACTGACATTTTATAAATTACATCAACTTTCTGCTTTATATGGATGTTCTTAAAGCATATATTGAGATGACATTGACGTATTATGCCCATGAAAATTCTCTTAAGACTCCTATTGCACCAACGGTGAAACTACCAGTAGACAGATGTCAATAGTTGCAAACAGAATCTTAGGCTCTAAGTTCTTCACTACTTTGTAATTCAGATCAACCGAGCATTGGGAAAGATTTTGTGCCCAGAGAGGCAGAAAACTTTACAAACAATCCCAAATTCATCTTACAACTTGAAACCCCGTTACCTTCCACCAAATAATCTTAATCTTGTATCACTAAGATCGCTCCATGGTTTATTACCTGATGATACTATCAACACAATTGATCTGCTGATAGGAAGGAACACGCGGAGTCGTCTTTGTATCATCATAAAATGCATTGCCTAGTTCTTCTGTGCTATCACTTCTCAATGACTGAAGAAAACAGGAAGCAGTGTGCCTCTTCCCTAGAAAAGAGGAAATTCTCAAAGAGTCCTCTGAAAGGCATCTGAACACTACCTCCACTGAGACACACACATATACACCTCAAGATACACATACATATAGGTATATTATACAGGAATACATGGTCTATAACAGACACAGCTCTCATCACAAGTTATTCTGCACTTTCATCTCAATTGACATGTTTCAGGGCAGGGGAAAGAATGACTAAAAAGAAAAAAACCCACACAACACCTTAAATATCCACCCAGAACAACTAGTAAACAGAAAGAAAACAGCACAGAAAAAAAACCATTTTATTTAAACTGTAAACAAAGCTGCAATTAGTATTACTCTTCTCGGATTTCTACATCACAGAACCTAACCTGTAATTAACAGTAAATTACAGCTTTTTATAGCACCGATACACTTGGTCAGAGCAGTACCAAGATTCACAGTGCAGTCCTCTTATCAATGAGACTAGGTGTTAATTATAACACTTTTGTAGAGAGTATCACAGTACAAAATATTTTAATACAGATTCCTATATCGAGGAAGTATCCAGTTTTCACCATGTATTTGTGCTAGGTGCTAACTGCAAATAATGTGCATTAGCATAATATGAAGCAGTCACTAAACCACTATTTCAGTGGGAAGGGGGGGGCATGTTTTCCAACATATGGATTGTTTCCAAAACTCCACATAAAGTATCTAAGGGAAGCTTCTATAGTAGACTTACACTTGCTACAAGCAAGTCTGCATTTTCACTAGAAAATGTTAAAATAAAAAAAGTAGAAGTAATATTAACCTAGAAAGAGACACATATGTTCCTCCATATCTCAGGGAGCAGTTAAAAAGTTATTGCATCTGCTGAGAGTTTTTTTGGGGTGGGATTTGTTGTTTTTTTGTTTCATTGGATTTTGATTTAAAAACAAACAAACAAAAAACCCCAAACAACAAAACACTTCCCACATTCAAGCCATGCTAAACCACTATCTTAAGTTCTTCAGGATAACAGCAGTGAGCCAGACACATGGCTATAGAGGTAGAGGATAACTGCATTTACTTACCTCCTAGCCCTTCTGAGCTCACAGCCGGGTCGTTTCCATTCTGTGGCTTGCTTCTTGATGCGATATACAGCTGCTGTCCCAGATTCTTTATTCGGTTGACATCTGCACAAACTTGTTGCAATGTCATCTTGAAATAAGTGAAAACGTGAAGTCAGAATAAAACGAATAAAAAGAGGCCACAGGAGACCATTAAGATGGGTTTGGGCTCCTGTATTCTCCAGACTGAAAAGGAGTAGACTGCCAGCCTAAGCCTAGTGTCTATTAGTATTTGTAAATTTCATTAATCTAATTATCATGGTTGATTTAATTAATTTAACTATGATAAAGCTCAAACAACCTCATCATTTGAATGTTTTAATCACAGAATCATCTAAGTTGGAAGGAAAGGAGTCCAACCATCAACCTAACACTGCCAAAACCACCGCTAAACCTCAGCACTACATCTGCCCAGCTTTTAGGTACCTCCAGGGATGGCAATTCCACCACTTCCTTGGGCAGCCAATTCCAATGTTTGATAACCCTTTTGGTGAAGAATTTTTTCCTAATATCTGATCTAAACCTGCCCTGGTGCTATTTCCTTTGGTCCTATTGCCTGTTGCTTGGGAGACTGATACTGATGTGAGTCTTGGGAGTGGGAATAAGCTGATGACTTACCCAGGATGCTCACAAGGAAACTAGGCAATTGCTGTGTCTGTTTTAGGACAGCACTGTTTCCACCCTCTTCTATAACAGTCTACACTGTACCTCTAGTGCCCTTTTTAAAACAAAACAGAAAATCCCAAGCAAACAGAAACCTCTTCACATGCATCAATCCTCTTTCTGGTTGCATGGTTCTACTTTTTTCTCCACTGGTCCTCTGAGAAGGCTGATCTTAAGCAAGTCTTCAACTTACTCTAGCGAACTACTGTAGTAGTTATCTGCTCATTCTAGTCAGCAAAATTAAGAGCAAGAAACAAAAGCTAGTATTCTATAATTAACCAGGTTAAATACATTTAGCTTGAACAAAGCTGTATCTTCCCACTTCAGTAAAATTCATGATGTATAGTGCACACATAAAAGTAAAAAATAAAGTTTTAAAAATGACATTTTTGCTACTTTGCAGGCAGTGACACGTTTATAGACTTACTGGTTCAGTTATTTCCTCTGCACAATTCCCATTGGAGTCACTCGAAGATGCTATGCTGATATAGTGCTCATAAGAGCCATTGCTTCCAAGGCTTCCATAACCACTGGAAACATTGCTGTGAACTGGCTGTATGAGGGGGAAAAAATAGTATTAAAAAAAATCATCCTCTTAGAGTACAGAAAGGGAATAACATACCTTGCAACACAGACCTTCAAGTAAACAAAGAAAATTAAGCGAAAAGTCAGTATTGCTCTGGGCTCTACCACCTGCTTGGGAAAAATTCTCTACCATGCTTAAAGCTGTTTCAGGATGCAGATTTATCTTTCAATAAAAAGGCTTGGCAAATATGTAAAACAAAGTATTTTTCTCTAATGAGGTGGGCCATATTTTTAATGCTGTCACACAAGCCTGTCTCCAATTAGAAATTTCCTTCCAGACCTTTTAAAGATGATTCCCAAACAGACCCAAGTTTCTTTAGCCCCTCATTCAGAAGGCCACCCACTGTTCTGAAATTCTTTCATCTTCTTTACCTGCAGAAGCAGCTTGTAAATTTGTCCTTGCAATTCTCTTATCTCTTTCTCAACACTGCTCATTTCTTTACTTCTTGCAGCAAAGACGTCTTCATTCAGAGGGCTTCTGGAGAAAGCCAGAAAAAAATCATTATTCATTTTAAGTTGATGAAGGAAAGGTAGCTATAAACAGAGTTACAACATACATATATTTTTCTAAATTATCACTATTTTATTTTGACTGCTTTGCTGAATCAATGCAAAGGGATGCAATCTGTCCCAGGAGCAGCTCTGTGGGGCAGTGTGTCACGTGAAGCCGCAGGGGAGTCAGTGCATCCCCCCAGTGACACGAGTAAAGGCTGACAAGCACCTACCCCTCTGCCTCCTTCCCTCAGGAGTCAAACACACCCCATAAAATCTTGAATAAAAGATCACTTTGAAAAGTCAAAAGGCCACCCCAAAAAGCCATTTCCCAAGAGCAAGGCAAATCTCTTGGAAACTAAGGAAAAACATCTGGAAAATTAACTTGCACATTCAATACTACTTGCATTTTTAAAAGAGGTTACTTTGGTAAATATTTACATTCTGTATCAAGTGAATGTTCTAGAAGAAAACAAGCCAGAGTTGATTTTGGCTACTTGTCTGTCAATTAATGTTTTGGGTTTGCTTTTTTGTGAGCCAATCATGAATGAATGTCAACTATGTTAAAATGATCTACTTTTTACATTGCTTTTTAGCTTCTACTCACCTTGTCTAAAACTGGTATTTTGATTTTAGACATGTCAGAATATTCAATGAAAAGCACTTTAATAGATCAAATCTACAATTGACTTACGTCCGGACTTTGTGTCGGCCGATGATGAACACCACTTTCCTGCTCCAAGGATTCACAAAACTGGACCAGCTGGTATCCAGTATGACATAATCCCCATTTTGAGTACAAAATCTGATAGGCAGATGTTCGAAAGGGGATTGGCCAGCAAATTTCAGGACTGGAAAAAACCCACACAACCAAGAAACAATGTTTATTTCATATTATGACACAGCAGTGCAAACACAAACACTAATGACTGAGGTCCTTTAAAACTCTGGGTTTGAATTTGCTATGACTTGAAGATGGTTGTTTCAATTCACTCATTAATTTGTTTTCGTCTAGGCTGCAGATCAGTCACATATTGAGTAATATGATAACGAAAGAACATTAGAACTAGTAGAAATTCCTCTTAAAGCAACTGTACTTACTTTTCCTGTGAACAGCAATCATCAATGGACGATCTTCTGGGTGCAAATACATCAGTATGGACGTTCCAATTAAATCCTGAGGTAAGTAACCCAACAAAGGCACTGCTCTGAAACCCGAACACATTATCACTGATTATAATATTGTTTTGAGTATTTACATCCTTAACTCTTTGCTTGTCAGTGAAGTCCCTGTGCACAATCTACAATGGCAAGAACTAAGGCTACAGAACATTTTCCAGACCATCTAATAATCCTCCAGTCCAATGCAGACCTGTAAATACCAATGACAAACATTTCTGTGCCTGGAGGTCTAACAGATTCTCACATTTGCAGGCAGTTTTGTGCTTGTCTAGATGAAAGGGGAAAAAAGAAAAAGATCTTGAAGAAACTGGTCACAGGCAAAGTGTCAGTAAGAAATCTGACATGGATGCTGCAAAATGTGTTGTAAAAACACTCTTGTGGCTTTGCAGGAGACAGCTTTAGTCTGGCCACATTTATTTGACCCAGCTCAGTACAGCTGTATCTCCACACAGTCAAACCCAGAGCTCTGTGTTACGTGGGTTTTCCACTGTCTGTGTTACCACAGGCCTCCACTGCCCTCAATAAACAGAACTGCAGTGAGTTTTCCTTAATTCATATTTTAAGTCAACAAAAAAGATTACATTCATGGAGTAGAAGATGATTTTCCATGAGCAGACTACCACAAAACTACTTTATTTTTTTAACTATTGCCATCTGCACAGTTCAACTACTTTACTTGGGTCTCCAGCTGCATGACCAAAGGATTTTTTGCTACCTCTCCATACACACCCCACAGGTCTTAAGATTCAAATCTCACCTGTCATCTATTTCAAGAAAAACACATCCAGGGGTGTGAGTGGTGGTGAAGATTCTTTTATCCATAGGAATTCGAGGAGCTAATAGAAATAGAAATATTTACTGAAACAAAATATGCACTAAGACAGAAAACCTAACCATTACTTTTGCTCATGATAGAAAGTTACTGGCTCCTGCACTTTTTAGCTGTGCGCTGCTTTCTGACCAGTAACTCATAGAGACAGGTGCTACAGACTTATCAAAAATAGACATAGTGAGAAGAGGTCAAATGCTTTGGGACTTTCAAAGGAGGCACAGATGCTCCAGATTCACATGCACACACACAAACATGAACTGCAAGTTCCACAGGTGACACTACCCAAGCACAACTTCTAAACAAAGGATTCAGACTTTCGTATAGTGCATTTTCCTATTGTCTTGTTTTTCCACCAGCGTCTCCTGACTTGCCTTCATATCCAGAGTGAATTTTCTCAGCCAAAGCTAAGCAGCAGGACTCTGCATCCACGTGGACAGAAGTACATACGTGGACCAAGTATGGGGTGATTCGGAAAGGGTAACAACGTGTTTCTTGTTCTTGATCTTTACCACCCCTGAGAAAGAGTAAAAGGGATTAATGCACTGGTTTCAAGACTCAGATACTTTATGCCAGGCTGAGCACTCTGCACAGAGAAGTCACGCTGAGCACACAGATTCAGACAATCAGAATCTCCCCAGGTCCTACACACACTCCTTTGCGATCCAAGGCCAACATGTTCAGCAATACTGAGCTCATTCCTTTTAAAACCAAGTAGGTGTTTTGCCTCCAATACCTGCATTCAGAGGCTGTTCTAGAAATGCCATTACTCCAACGGTTAAAGACCACCTTCTATTCTCAGTCTGGATGTATTAATAAGAACCACTCATTTGATCTTGTGCTCTCCTTCAAGTTTAACAGCTCTTTTTCTGTTCGTTGTTTATTCTGTACCATTTTTAGGGAAAACGGTAATACTCTGTCTCTCACAAGTATTGTTTCACTGAGATAAGTAAATAAAGCTCCTCCAGCCTCAGTTCACAAATAGTTGTTACTCTTTGATTGTCCCCGCCATGACAATTTGTCTTCCTATAGAACATGTGCGAGCAGCAACAGCACATGACACCCTAGATGAGATCTGAACCAGGGCTTTGTAACTGCATTAGCAATTTGTGGATTCACAGATTTGACAGAGTTGGAAGGGACCATAGAGATCATCCAGTCCAACTCCCCTGCTAAAGCAGGACCACCCAGAGCTTGTCAGAGTACATTGCTCAGGGCTGCATCCAGGTGGGGCTTGAAGATCTCCAGAGAAGGGGACTCCACACCCTTCCTGGGCAGCCTGTTCCAGGGCTCTGCCACCCTCACCCAAAAGAAGTTCTTCCTCATATTTGAATGGAACTTCCTATGTTCCAACTTGTGCCCGTTGCCCCTCGTCCTGTCACTGGGAACCACTGAAAAGAGTCTGGCTCCATCATCCTTCAACCCACCCTTTAGGAACTTGTAAACATAGATGAGGTCTCCCCTCAGTCTTCTCAAGGCGAAAGAGCCCTGGTTCTTTGAGCCTTTCCTCATAAGGGAGGTGCTATAATCCCTTAATCATCTCTGTTGCCCTACGCTGGACTCTTTCCAGCAGTTCCCTGTCTCTCTTGAACTGGGGAGCCCAGAACTGGATGCAGGATTCCAGTTGTGGCCTCCCCAGTGCAGAGCAGAGAGGGAGAACGACCCCCCTTTGACCTGCTGGCCACACTTCTCCCTGTGCAGCCCAAGATTCCATTGGCCTTCCTGGCCACAAGGGCACATTGCTGGCTCATGGAGAGCCTGCCGTCCACCAGGACTCCCAGATCCCTTTCCTCAGTAGTACTTCCCAGAAGATCTACCCCTAACCTCTATTGGTGCCTGGGATTCTTCCTCCCCAGGTGCAGAACCTTACATTTGCTCTTGTTGAACCTCATTAGGTTCCTCTCTGCCCAGCTCTCCAGCCTGTTGGATGGCAGCACAGCCCTCTGGAGTGTTGGCCAGCCCTCCCAATTAGGTATCATCAGTGAACTTGCTGAGGATACGTTCTGTCCCTTCGTCCAGGTCATTGATGAATAAGTTGAACAGGACTGGGCCAAGTATTGACCCCTGGGGGATGCTGCTTGATGCCTCCAACTTGACCCTGCTCCATTAATGACAACCCTCTGAGTTCTGTCACAATTGCCTGCTCCTATTGCAAGTGCTTTTTCACCTGTTATAATTGGACATTATCACTTACACTAAAAGTTACTTTCTTATTCCACACTTAGTCTTGTAAAATGTTTGTAGAGAGAAGTCAATGTGATAAAGACACTCCTAACAGCTCCCCCTTTTGGATACAAACGGAAATTGAATACAGCAGAAGTTTAACCCACAAAAACCCATTTTCAAATTTTAGTCTAGTGTGTGCTTGTGAAAAAAATACTTCTACTCAGGAAGCCCACATAATCAAAAGGATCTATTATATAAATGAAGAAGAGTTGTCATATGAAAATCTCAAGAAAAACTATTGCAAAATGTCTATGTATCCTAGGTACAAACAGTCACCCCAACTTAAATTGATATACGTCCTGCCACATTGATTCCAAGTGCCCTTACACAATGAAAGAGACAAAGGTGATTTTAGAGCTCAGGGTTTTTGAAACACAGATGAATGAATCAATGATTGGTTGAAAACCTTATACCTGCTCAGAAGCAAACAGCTCTTACTGAAATCAAGAGACCGCTCAAGTCTGAAACAGAACTACACTGAAGATTACAGGCCAATTTCTTTTTTTTTTTTTAATTATTTCTTTTAGCACCAAGATTAGCCAGGCACAAAGCAACAAACTCCATCTATAGCGACAGCAAATAGTGTCTCATGATTCAGGTCTCATATTGGGACTTGGGTGACTGAGTTTCTGTTACTGCCTCTGTCACAAACTCTTGAGCAATCTTAAGCAAAACCAGCCTTTGCCTCCACTCTCAAACTGTAAAAGGGGGAGCAGCAACTTTTCACAAGATCATTCTTCTCCTGCACAACAGTACTGAAGGGAACTGATCCAAAAGAGAAATGTATGAACAGTTTTCCTTCTATCTCCATGCAGGTTTAAGCATCGCTATGTGAAACATATCCAAAATGTCCTGCTGGATGCCAATATTAAACACACAAGCCAATTTTGTAATGGAGTTCCATGAGCTCACATTGCTCAGTTGTAACAACAGAACACTCTTTCTACCCAGTACTGTACCCTTTGCAAACATAAAACTATATGAATGTACTTGCCTGATTCTGCAGAAAAAGGATTTCACCTGGGCGTATTCGTACAGAGAAGCTAATAAGAAGAACACACATTGAAAGTATCAGTTAATATCCTTAAAAAGGTCACACCTATCAGAACTATTTTAAATTCTGCATTCTCCAGACTTTCTGATCAAGATCAAAGTCTTACAACCTGCTCTTTATTAGCTATTGAATTAACTGTTCAACAGTCTGCTCCCACCTCAAACACCATCTCTCTTCTCCAGCCCACTCAGTCCTGGAGAAATGGCTGACCTGGAACTGAATTTAGAGGAAATGCACATGATCTAAACCACTCCTTTTCCCAGTGCATCACCATAGCAAGGCAAGGCAAAAATTCCCAGTTTTATGAGCCATGTACCAAAAACTATATACAGCCGAGAGTTATGGGGAGGACAAAATCCAGTTACAGTTCACAGCAAGAAAATAACAACTGCATAGGGGTGCTGCTGCTCTGCCAGGCAGGCACACAACTGGCTCACAGGGGGTGGAATCCCCAGCGTGTGAGCATTAGCAGCCTCTGATGTCTCACATCCTTTGGCAGGAAGGATTCTGGATTTCCCAACTCTGACAGCAGAACAGCCCCACGGCAAGGTGGGCAGAGATATGGTCTTGGCACGTGAGCCACACTTGAACTGCTCACAAATAATATAGGACTCTAAATAGTCATCATTTAGGCACATCTGGCACCAAACAGCAAGTCGTTTAAAACTCGGGTTCAGTGAGCTGTGCTCAGAGCAGGCTGACCATAAACACAAAGCACCTAAGCAACTGTACGATGTAGATTAAACAACTTTAAACTCACCGTTAGATCTTTAGCTCCTTTTTAAAAAGCAGAGCTATTTGCAATAAGTAAGATGGTACACAAAACAACAGAGTATCTGCCTTGACTTACCCCAAGTAAGAGTTAAGCCTCTAACAGACCAGCTAGGACTGGCTGCATAGCTACACAAGGTCTCAAAGTGGAAAGGGAACAAGCGTGGCCCGTGCACATTGCTGGCATAAGCATTTAAAACAAACAACTACTCTATGCTCATTCTGCAGAGACAGGAAGACACATATAGCCTTTAAGAGCATCGCCACGACCCACCTGCTTGAGTTTCCATGTTCCAAAGTGGCAGGTGGGACTGATCAGTGTGTGCATAGAACACACTCACATCCTGAGGTACCAGCAGCTCCACGAACCGGGAGGAGTCCAACACTTTCTTCTTACAGTTTAGAATGGAGGCTGCCTGCTCAGAAATATGCACCATGCGTCCCGAGAGCAGGGAAAACACCGCCACAAACGTGTCCTGCAAAACAAAGGGTGTTAAAGGCAAACCTCCTCCAAGGTGTGACAGCAATATTGTAAGGATAAAAAACAAACAAACCCCCCAAAAAACCCAAACCAACCCCAAAACAAACAAACAAACAAACAAACCCAAAGCCATTATACGCCACAACCTAAAGCAGAGGTTCAAAACTCATTAAGCTAGTGTTCAATTAAAGTTGTGCATGAGCTACCACTATCTCCAATGCTACAGCAGCTTACTCATGCTAATAAGATTGCAATATTAAAACTGAAACAGATTACAGTGATGCTTGCCACTGTCCAGAATGACTGGTTATCACTCCCCACGTTTCTCCCCAAATTTCAAAATATTCACCATAATTCCACATACAAAAATATTCCGAGAACTTTTCAAGTAGAAAGCATTTGCAATGTTTCTGATAAGCAGTACTCAACATCAAGAAACACTCTTTTCATTAAAGCACAGCCAGAAAGCATGACACATTCTGCAAATTAGGAAAAAAATAATTAAATACAGCAGTACAAACAGAAACCAAAGTCCCTCGCAACTATGGGCTTCATCAGCTTTGAAAACATTCTGCTAAGTCTGTCTCAAGAGATTACTATGCTTTAAGTGAATTCCCAAATAAGATTCTCAAAGAGATATTTGTTGCTTCTGGTAAAAAAAGAAAAAAAGAAAAGGTATGTCTTCACTTACTGCTGTTGGGTACCCTGAGTCAGCACAGATAAGAATTAGTCTGATCTACATTTAAAAACACAAATGACTCTCTGGCTAGACCTTAAAGGCTTTTTAATTTTACACATTCAATTTCCACAAAATGACATAAGGAGACTATTTTAAATAGAGAGTGAAACAGCAAATGATGAACTCCTTCAGTGTGCCTGAATTCCTTACAGTGTTTTTTGGAGTGTGCTCAGATGCAACTGCCACCAACTCTTCTATGCTGTATGTCATCACGTCTGTCTGAAACACCCTTCGGTCATTCAGAGCCTGGAAAAAGTCATTGTTTGCTAATAAAAAAAAGCAAAGAAAAGCAAAACAAACACAAGGAAGTCAGTAAGAAGACCATTTTGAAAGTATTTCTTACAGCCCTTGTACTTTTGTCATCTTTTTGGTCAAGTCCAAGGTAAGATGAGGAAGGTCTGTGTAGTGACAAAGGAAAAAGGAATACTGATTATACTACTGGAATGACCATTTTATGTTACAGAAAACGAGCATGAGGAAGTAAAAAGGACAGAACATGACAGCAAGAGAACAATTATAACTACTTAGTTCTCTTGGAAAACACAGACCATCAAATAATTTTTCAAAGTGGGACAGGAATGCTGATTTTTCAATATATACACAGAAAGTTATTAGTAGGCACCTATTAGCTATGGAATTCTGAAGAAAAGAGAAGCAGTAGGTGGGCATTTCAATAAAAAAGATAACATGATTATTAAAAAAAAAAAAAACCAACCCACAGTGCTTCAGAAAGTCAACTGTTTGCAGGATAACTGGAATGCTTTCTTTTGTTTTTACGTTATTTGCCAGACACATCTATTCAAACTAAGCTGCTGTACAGCTTCTGTGCTTCCAGGTTTTTTCCACACATACCTTGGACCTGCTGGACACACTGCAAGGCATAGTTGAGAGCACTGATTGTACTGGGCTTGCTGGAACTCCTTTTCTCTTCAGGCAAACATCTTTTCATTTCTTGGATCATCATCATCAGATCTCTGTGAGACTGGCTCCAATTCAGCTGCTCACTGTCAAACAGAGGCTAAACTTTACCAGAGAATTCTGGTATAGGAGCTTCTTTTCTGTCAACTATTTAAAATTATTCACTAAATTAACACTTTATGGGCTTAGCTGCAGAGTCACAGGAGACCCAGAAATGTCCTAATGCTCATTCACTGTATTTCTTGTTGTATCTTTCTCACTTCTTTGCTACTGAAATCTTTTCTCCTCCACCTTCCTACTTTTCAATTCCAAAGTGTCATGGATGGCAAAGTCACATCATAACCAATCTGCTTGGTAAAATGCTTAGCAACTAAAAATAAGCTGATGTTTACGCTAGATTTTCTAAATCTATCTGGTATCAAAATAATGAATAGATGCTGATTCTTTAAGTATGCACGTTTTCCTAGCCTTGAAGCCTGCATCTGATTATAAGCACTTCGGGGAAATGCAAGGTCCTCAAAATACACCCGATCCAAAGATTTCATTCCTCACACAATTTGGGACTCTTAATTATACTCCTAACAGTCGTTGGCCTCGACAGCTGCAAAATCTCCCTCTTCTTACTTATTCACTGACTGAATTTGGGACTCTTAATTATACTCCTAACAGAGTCGTTGGCCTCAACAGCTGCAAAATCTCCCTGTTACTTATTCACTGACTAAAAAGCAGTCAATATCCTCAAAACGTGGACTGATCCTAATCCTACAGAGGAGATATGAACACCATTATTTAAAATACCTTTTGTCCACTTGTTTTTTTTATTAGTATCGTTCTCTTACTATGTAAATCACTAAGTTCAAGTATTGTACGTTAACTTTGTGTGTCAGTTCAACATTGCAAAAATTATAGCTCTTGAACTCTTTTTAATGGAAAAAAACCCCCCACAACTAACTAGCGTCTCATTGAATTTCTGAACTTTGAGGGAAAAATACTGTTTAATTTCTGCTTTTCTACTGCCAAACGCAAAGTAAGTATATGCAGAATATATACTTGGGGCCAGTGACGTACCTGGACCAGCCAATCTAATAATTAAGCGATGAGCTGATGAGGACGCGCAGGGCGCTCTCTCACCTACAGGCCAGGCCGTTAAGAACACGGCCGGTCCCGACCGGGGCGGGTTCCCCCGGTGCCCCGGGGAGCTCCCCACCCCAGCTGGGGCTGCAGGAACGGCCGGTCCCGCACGCCGTCGCGCTTACCCGTTAACTTTGCTTTGCTTCCCCGCCGAGCAGCCCCTCGTCCGGCGGCCGCAGGGATCGCTTCTCCCGGGGCTCGGCTCCTTCAGCCGGTTCCCGCCGCAGCCGCTTCCCGCACAGACGGAGCCGGTTCCCGCCCGTCGCTCTCCCTCCTGCCCGCCCGGCCCGGCGGGGCTGACCACCTCCTCCCGCTCGTCGCCGGCCGGTGGCCAAGGCTCGCCGTGCTCCGAGCTGCCTCCCCGGAGCTCGCCCGCGTCCATGGCCGATCCGCAAACCGCCGCACCGCAGGGGCATCGACCGCCGCGGCCTGGACTCCTCAGCCGGCCCTAGACCCTCAGCCTCCGGGACGGGGACGGGGGCGGGCCTGCCCGGTCTTGCTGCGGGAGACAGCGGCACCGCCTCGAAGGGACGCCCACCCCCCGCCCTCTTCAGACCGACCCTCCTACACGGGGGGCTCCCTTCCCGCAGCCCGGCAGCGCCTTAGCCCCGCGGAGGCAGACCCCCAGCGGCTGAGGGCGGGCGAA